GGAAAGTGTTATCTTAATCATCTCTTAGAAAGAGGTGTGCTAGAGTTTGGCAGAACAACTGTTTCAATCCTGTGAAACAGGCGGCAACGTACAGTTCTGGTCTGTCCTCCAGGCTCAAAGTGCAGGGGAGCAAAAAGCCCCACAAAGGATCAGCTGGCTCCAAGAGTTCCAGCATTGACTTCCCCACCTGGGAAGCAGAGTCACAGCCAAATTGCATGTGACGGCTTTAAAAGCCTTCTGCGAAGGGGCATCTCAAGGCAAATGACATTTTCTGCTTTGTAAGTCTTCTGCAGCCATCCTTAGTGGAAAATGCTGGCTTCCTGACTGAAGACAGAATTCAGCCTTAAACCGAGATTCTGAGAGTACAGGATGTCCTTCTGCTTAGTGCAGTCCTTTGTTCAGCTGTGAAATTGTTGCAGGGCAGGGCTGTTGGCCTGTGTGCAGACCTGGGTGTGTAACTTTGTGCTCGTGGGCCAGGTGGTGTGGGTTGATCCCATGCCATCTGCAGACTGTAGTGGGGGCAGTTGGTGGTTCCAGCATTGTGATCCTGTTCTCTGTTTTCCTTTTCTCCCTACAGGATGCTGATGTTTCCAATCAGATAATCCTTGTAGAGGACGTGCTGGCCAAGCTGTGTAAAACAGTGTATCCACTAGCAGATCTCTTAGCTAGGCCTCTACCTGAGGGAGTTGACCCACTGAAGCTTGAAATTTATCTTTCAGATGCGGACTTTGAGGTGAGGAGAGAATAGGTGCACTGTTCCTCTGTGCATGTGTGACTGTGAAGTCATTTGGCAGTTTTTGCTGCTTGTAAGTGGTTTTGCTAATGGCATATCCTCTCGTTTTAAATGCAGGTTGCATTAGAAATGACAAGAGAAGAGTACAATGCACTGCCATCTTGGAAGCAGGTTAATCTGAAGAAGGCTAAAGGACTTTTCTAAATCGTGTTTATTGGAGTGAGCACTAAAGGGATGTCTGGTTTCACTTTCTATGCCCTTTAGAAGAATTGTACCCCACATTTACAGAATAAATAGAAATAATCTGAAGTTATTAGTAACTACCTATCTGGAGGTGTGTAATATTATAAAAGGCCAAGAGAACTCTGGAAATGGAATTCAATTTTGACTCTTAAAGGTAATGTGTTTAAGCTCTGCTCTCCTATGCACTTAAACAGTAGTTTCTTGAGCTACTGCTGCAGGCATCCTTTGGCTATATACAATACTTGCCATTTTTGTTTTTGAAGAAGTTCTCTTTGTAAAGTGTTATTTTGTTAGTTTGTGGATTACAAAGAATTTATATTTATATAAACACATAGAACAAGTATGTATTTAACAATGCAATATATAGTCACTTTCAAGACTTTCATGTCAAAACTACAAAAAGTAGCTGGATGGCAGTTGCTTGTACTGAATTAGCTATACCACCGATATGTATCCCCTACGCATTCTGAAGAGTTTCTCTTTGCAATAGTTAATGAATTGTTCTCAGTGCTGCTTCAGGTGCTAAACCGAACAAAGCGTTTGTATTTATAGCATGGATTTCTTGAGAAACTATGCGAATCAACCTTTATACTTTATTATCCAAAAATGTATAGTGCCTTGTTTTTTGTGTACAGTTTATATACAAAAAAAAAAAGATTGGTCTGCATTTTGAAGATGGCTTAGAATGGTCTCCTCTGTTACTTTTATAATAGTAGAAATAAAAACATCTCAGTTTCTAATACTTGTTGTAAACATTAAACATGTCTTTTGTGATATAAGAACCAAAAGTAAAAGCTTCTGAATAAACTCTTAGCGATGCTCTGACTTGTCATTATTTTGTACTGTAATCTGTACTAAGTCTTTGGAACCTTCCATAACATGGTATGTTATCAAAATACTTTAACCTTCAATATCTGCAAGTGTTGTACAGAGTTATAATTTCAGAAGCAGATAATGTAGAATATAATCAATATACGGGATAAAATTAGGTTGTGCAACATTTCAGTGCTGAACGTTGCAACTGACACACAACTCCTGTGTCCTTTGGGTTGCCCTGTTTTATATGTGAAACCAAAGTTATGCTGGTTTTCAAACTTTGAAAATATCTTTTCAACCTTTGTGCAAACAGGAGTAAAACTTGGACTGAAAATGAGTATGGCATCTTCTATGGCCATTCTTTCAGTAAGCACCAGAGTCAAAATCTTTTTCATTCAGCTAATTAGGATATTGAATAGAGTAATCGAGTAAAAATCTGCTATTGTTTGAAATGTTTTTCAGGCATGTGGCATTTCTATTAACAACCTGTGTGGTTCCCCTCTGGTAGCCTATTGGATTTCATGTTTTCATTCCCACCAGCTAAGTTTCCTTCTGCCGTGCAGCCGTTCAGAGCTCCTCCTGCCTGGGTAAAAAGTGATCGCCTGCAGCGGTGCCTATTGCTGCTCTTGGCATTCTCCTAGGCCCAGGGAAATGAAGGAGGATCTCTGAATGTGTGAGGTGTAGATTTCATCAAGATCTGCAGTAAGTATTGCTCCACAGTTAAAATTAATCTTGTTTCAACAGATCAATTAATGGGTGGTAAGCTAGCCTGTAAGTAAAAAACCCAAAAGCCTAGAAATTCGCGAGTACTATCCACCTGACCTGAGATATCACAGGTGAATTTTCAGCACTGGTGTACTTCCTCTCATTACTGCTTTCCGTCAAGCACTGAAATGAAATAACCCAAGAAAAAGGGTAGCAACAGTAATCAGAGCCAGGATACTTCTTACGTAGCCTCCAGCAAAAAGATGTTTAGATGTCTGATATTTCAGGTGAGATGGGACCTCGGAGGTCCTCAGCTATGTCTTCTGCATGGGGGACACTCTTAGTTTGTTTATTTTTCAAGCACTGAGAGGTTTCCAAAGTCACTGCTGTATTCATCTAAGTATTTTTGCACCCGTATATTTTCCTCTTTCACCCTCTCTGGTGATAAAATCAAGCAGGAATTAAGTTTTGTTTATTCATGTTCAATCTGTACCGTGGGGGTAGCAGGTTCCTCTGTTTTGATTTTTCTCTCCCACAGAGAGCTGATTTGCATAGCGTGATTGACCTTGTTTTTCCCTCTGGCAGGCTAGTATCATTTGCTTTTGTTTTTTGCAAACAGTCAGTCCTCCAAGTGCTGCTGAAGGGCAACATCCACCCACCCTTAAAGCCTTTCGAATCTCAGCTGAAAGACAAGACAAGCCGGCACAGGGACCTGCAGGCAGTGAAACACAATTTGGTGCTGTCAGCTCTCGGAGTTACCGTAATTTTTACACAATTTGGCATCTTGTGCCTCAGTTCCAGGAACCAGGATGCAGAACCTAACTTCCTACTCAAGTGCTTTGCTCCTAACCTTGCCTAGGAAAACTTCAAGGGTTTGCAGAAAATGAAAATATGTGTATTGTCCTCAATATATATGTTATTTATCAAAACGCTTTCCTCAAATGTGAAGCTGACAAGAGAAAGCAAGTCAGTGTAAGGCCTCAGACAGAACCGTGGGTTGTGCTTTAATTTTCTGCTACCTTTCCTCACCACTGGGGATGCCATTATCGGCGGAAAATTGGGAAGGGCCATTAAAATCTCTTGAACTGTTTTTATAGCACTGCAGGGGAAATACAGCTGAAACGGGTTTTGTCTGGGGATAGGGAAGGGGGTTGTTTGCTTGCTTGGGTTTTATCTAGTGGTGTTTGCTTGTTTCAGATAGACCCCCAAGAACACAGCGTCCTGGGTGAATTCAAAGGCAAAGTGTCTGGTACAGGGACTCTGAGTGTGAAAAAGGCAGTACCTTGACCATGGCATTCTGCATTTTCTGCCAGTCCCACAGCTTCCAGGCCTTGAGCCACGATTCTTATCTCTAGCGGTTTTAAACTGTTCTTAAAACTGACTCTTAAAAAATACTGCTCTTTGATTACACAGACATTCCTGCACACATAAGGATTTGTTAGCAGTGAAACGGGCTGGAAACATGAATATATCAGTCTGCCAGAACAGCAAACTAACACTATGTCTGAAAAATCTGCAGCCCGTATGCTTCAGCCAGAAGAGGAGGGAAAATGGAAGATAGGTAAGGGGAGCAAAAACCAAAACTAATCTTCCGCAGTTTGGGGGAGCTTGTTTCTGTCCACTGACATCCCACCAGTCTCCCAAACAGTTACTTAGCTGAGCAGGAGTTGTGGACCCATGTGCACAACTGGTTAAAAGCCGATTCTGAGCTCGTCTGAAAGCCTGTGGCACTTCCGTAGGAGGGGAGCAGTGGCTGGCGCAGAGTAATTTGGGCAGTGGGGCTCTGGGGTAGATGCTTTGGCTGGTGGGGATGCTGTTCCCGGGAGCTGCTCCTGCTGGGCAGCATTAAACCTGCTCAACTGGAGTGGCAGAAGGGACAATTTGACCAGGCTCTGCTACCACTGCTCAGTGTATATTTCCCTTTTGGATCAAGTAGCAGGTGAGGAGGAAAAGCTCAAACAATAATATTCTCCCAAGTGCCTGCTTTCCACACCCCCTTGTGTGGGAACTGAAGTCGGTTTGCAATAACAGGTCACTGCTGCCCAGAAGAGAGAAGTGCCCCAGAAGCCTGCGTGCCCCCATCACTGCTCGAAGGCATGAGGTCCCCGTTCGCCCTCTCCCAGTGTGACGCTGGGAGCTGCCGGATGCTGCAGGGAAATCCCTTTTGGGCACTGGGTGAGGATGCTGGGTGAGGATCGTGCTCAGCCAGTCAGTACTGGTGCAGCTCTGGGGGCACATGGGCCTCTTCACTTCTCACAGGGCAGCAGCATGGGGTTGATCATATGAGCCTGAGGTGCTGCCATGGGTCGATGAACACTTCCAACCTTCCTCTTGAGACCAAATGGGTGAATTGGTCTTCGGCAGGGATGGAGGTTGGGGTGCAGTGCTTGATGTGCCAGGGTTGTTTCTCCCTCCTCTGGTTTCATATTTGTAGGCCCTGTAAGGTTAATGCTGATTCTGTGGTGTTTTCCTGTGGTTTGATCAGTGGAGTAAGGGAGCACCTGGAAGAACAGCTCACTGAGTAACTCCTGGGGAGCTGGTAGCTAAAACTGCCTGGAGAACAGGCTGGAGCGTCACTGCAGTTTCCCGATTCGTGCTGGCTCTGCAGCTAAGTTTTGCTAAAGCCTGTGACTGCGGGATAGTGTTGTCACAGTGTTAGTTTTTCACTATCTAATCCAACTATCAACTATCCTGGTCCTATAATAAAAATACAAAAAAACAGCTAAAATATTTTAATAATACTTTTCCGTTCACGTCAAGCCTTAGCATGTGAGCTGCACTGGCTTCATCCTAGCAGTACTTCCCTGGGCGCTGACATCTGAACTTGGAGGTGAGCAAGCGCAAAAACCCCTCCACAGGCAGAGGCACGGGCCGAGCAGTAAATAAGGCCAATCCCACAAAGAAAAGGATGAAGCAGCAGCTCTTCCTGCCGGCGGGCAATCTTTTCCGTTCACGTCAAGCCTTAGCACGTGAGCTGCACTAGCTTCATCCTAGCAGTACTTCCCTGGGCGCTGATATCTGAACTTGGAGGTGAGCAAGCGCAAAAACCCCTCCACAGGCAGAGGCACGGGCCGAGCAGTAAATAAGGCCAATCCCACAAAGAAAAGGATGAAGCAGCAGCTCTTCCTGCCGGCGGGCAATCCCAGGGGCCGTGCTGGTCAGCCACTGCCCTGCCTGTGAGGGAATCGCATACGTGGTACCTGCCCGCTGCGCCATGCCTCTCCCCTTCAACACCAGTGTCTCTTGGCATCCCGCTTGCTCCGCAGCTCACAGGTGGTCTTCAGCTCCCTTTTGGGCAGCCTCAGGACCTGCTCTGTAACAGGAACATTTGGGGGGAAATTTTCCAGTTTCATTTTGTAACACTTAAGGGTAGATGGGGGGAGTATGCAGCCAAGCAGCAGTATTTTGCCAGCCGTCCCACGGGGAGGACAGCCCTCGTCCATGCTCCTCTGCACCCTGGGGTGGCAGCAGGGCCCAGGAGCCCGTCACGCAGGGGCTACTGCTGGAGCTGGAGAGCTGCTGAAGCAGCGACCCCAGCCAGCCCATGAAGTTGCATGCTCTGGATCTGAAGCAAAGCAAATCTTTAAGTCTGGCTTGTGCTTCTCCTGAAGCGCAGCATATTTCAGAAGAAAGGTGAAAAAGAGGGAGCACCATACACCGTGTGCACACCACCACCAGCTGGGCTGCAGCTGGGCTACTTCGCCTTCAGGTGCTCCCTGCCCTTTGTTCCTCGGGGAATTGGTGCGGTGCGCCCATGTGCCAAGGCAGCAGGCACCCCGGATCTGCAGCAAGGGACTGCATCTTCACACCCTTTCATGTCAAATCTTCTGCTCTCCGTAAGGATGTGCAGTGCTAGGGGGAAAGATGGCCCCGTCCTGTTTCGGCAGCCCCCCACGACTCAAGGCCCGCCTGCAGTCCTGACGCGCTGACAAAGTAGAAAGCACCAGTTGTTCTCTTGGCAAGACCACGCAGTCTTGCTCGTGTAGAGCTTTGTGAATCACCCCTGCTCAGTGTCCCCCCTCAGACTAGCGCAGGGATATACTTTCACAGCAAGTACCAGACAAATTTCTTACATTCTGCTGCTAAACGATACGGTATTTCTTTTCGCAAAAGAAACATCTTTGCTTTCTGCTCTCTCAGCACAATAAGCAACTGGGGCATTTGA